TTTGTCAAAGCATACAAGGCCAATGAGCAAGGCAACTGCCCTCAGTCAGTCTAACACAAGCTTTACTTGGTGAATATTAACCTCATACAGAATAATTCTTGATAAAAATAAACTTAGCTGGAGAGAATATTTCAACGAAGTATTCCAAAGTGTAGTATCATAATAAAATCTAAGAATCATACTAAAATATTTGACACCATTTTGGTGAGCAAAAGAAAAGAAGCAGAAGAAGAAGTGCTGCATCAAACATGTAGAAGGCAAAACACCTGACCGATAGCACTTTAAGCTGGGAATGTCAATCGAGGTAATTGGAATAATGCTTTCATAAAAGATGTATGAAGCATCAGTAAAGAAAACTAACTAAACTGATGAGTCTAAATGCAACGCAAGCGCTGTAACTGTGCTCTTCTGTGAGAAGCTCAAGGACTTATGCTCTGTGCGCCAAGTAGAAATTGTGGGCATTACTGAGGCTGTCACATGGGCATTTGTTTTAATAAAAAATTCTATGAGGTTTGTAGAAGACATCCAAGCAAGTATGAAAACAGTTAAGTGTGTCAAAAAAAAAAAAAAAACAGTTCAAGAACGAGTCCTGTTCATAAAAAAAAAACAATCTCAACGCAAAATGAAAAACTGAGTTTAAGAACCTCCAAAAAGGATTATTTGATTACTTCAATATAAACATATATAATATATAAAAAATTATTTAATTAAATTTGGTACTTTAAAGCTGCTAGAGGTACCTAAACTTTACTTTAAGTCCCCACTGAACGGTCGATAGATTTTGATAAGAAACTTTGCTTTCGTTGTCCGTAATACATACGGAGACTCTGACCTTACCCGCCGAGGAAAACAAATTTTTTACAATCTTGCATTTTGGTCCAACCTGGACTCGAACTCTGGTGGTTCTATAGTGTTCACCATTTGCTGTTGGACTTGGATCCATTTACCGAAAGTGCAACGTGCTTAATAGTCATGCAGCTCCAAGTTTAGCCAAAGCAGAGAAAAGTAGTGCCTCATTGAAAACGGCTTTGTTCAAAAAAAACAGCCCTTTATATGTGAGCTGATCAACTCTCAGGATAGCCGTTTCTACGCACCAAAGTTGAGTCGAATTTTTTTTTATTCATTGAGAACCAACCGGTTTCATATGAGTAACAACTTTTCCTGATCTGACTGACTGGATTAAAGCATGACCTTCTACTCGTATAACTAGTTGCCATACACTCGCCTCCAGTGACCGCCTGTGACACATAATATACGACTGTATTGCTTATGAAAAAAAATAAGTGAAATTTGCTTTATGTACGTGCCTTACCTTCAATGCTTTAAATTTCATTACATTAAATCATTTCTTGGTCATAAAATACGGAACTTTTTTCAATTTTTAAGTAAAATAAATCTATTATAATAACGGTCATTATTTACGTCTGGTGGATTTTGGGCAAAAGGTTTCACTGTGGGACATCAGTCTGCTTGTTGTCTTTGTAGACGCTTGGAGCTTTCTCTTTGCGATTTGCAATTATTATTATTATTATTCGCCTTCGTGTTGCTACTGTTTTGGAAATACCAAAAATTGCATACGTGTGCTTTCCAACATTTTTCATTTTCTTTGCGATTGCGTTGGGCTTCACAGGCTTAGGCAGTCCGAAATCCACAAGATATCTGCATGCATAGTTTATGAGCTCGAAAGGAAAAGAGCGTGAAAAAGGAGCAGCAAACGAATGCTTTGGTAAGTGATTCAGTAAAGCATACATACATATATATAAATATGTGCGGACTTACGTGGCGCCCGGTGAGCTTACTCATAACCAGATTTTTGGCTTGCCGCTCCGGCAAGTGTGCACCAACCACTGCCTTTGGCTTTATGCGCATCGCAAAATTCCAGTTTTATTCGCGCGCTGAAATTGCTATTTTTATAGCTCATTAAATTTTTGATTTATCCTCGTGAAGTTTTTCACTCACTCCGTTCAAATACTATTTGCGAGTTTATTCTTATTTTTTTTTTCATATAAATTTTTTGCAATGAATTCAATGCATTCTCCTACCAACTAATATACATGTTTGAAGAGTGTGTGTGTGTGTGTGTGTGTGTGTGTGGGTGTGTGTGTGTGTGTGTGTGTGTGTGCGTGTGTGTGTGCGCGTGTAAGTGTGTTGAGTAGAGCACTTCAACTGTAAGTATTCGCTTATTGAAATCTACATCAGCTCATACGTATAGTCGGTTAGCTATAAATCAATTTCGTGGCGTAGGATTATTAACGCCTAAAATCACACTTCAGTTGAATGCACCTTAAGTAACGCGTGCCTGCGTCAGCGCCAGCGTCAGCTTTGAGACTTATAGACTCGTGCGCACTACACACAAAATTTATGTGGCTTTCATCAGCTGATAACACATTTGCAAATAATTTCGCGAACAGCACTTTAGGGAGAAATCACAATCGCAATCGCAATCACTTGCGAAAACAGCCTAAAGGGCATACATAGCAAAGACAACAACAGTACATAAGGCGGCTGGCTTCTCTAGCTAGCTATGTTGGTTGAAAATGGGCTATCAATTTAACGAAGCAATCAGCCAAAGTAATAAGGCCGCTACATTGCAGTTTAACTATAGCCAGTTTGGTGGCAAGGACTTGATGAGTTTTGGGTGGTTGTGCTACGCAGAGGTAGAGTCAGCAATCAGCGATACACCGCGGTAGCTCAACATTTGTTCGATTTGTGGTAATTCCGCTGCGGCGTAATTTAGGCGAAAGCAAATAAAAAAAAAGTAAAAAATACTAAATTGAGGCTATGTCTGCGCACTAAGAAGGCGGCTTATTTACATATTTTGAATTTTTCAATTTACATTTTTACATTTCTTCGGCATGAAATTAATTCAGCCAATTTCACATTTATTGTTATAATTATTAAAAATATTCTGGTTTTGCATTTACCTTTTGAAAATCAATTTTGCATAATTTCGATTTGTATTAAATATACAAAAGTCTAAATTGAGATTGAAAACGAATTCAGTATGAAGTGTATGAATTTTTAAGGCAGCTTCAGCAGCTCTGCTTGTACTTTAACTGAAATTATAATTTAAAGAGATCTGATATCAATCATATTTTATTGTAATGGAAATTCAATTAAAGTTAAGTAAAATATCAGTTGAATTTGAAAATCCTTTAATGAAGTCTTTTTGAAAAACATTTTTGAGAAAGTTTTCAAGTTTTTGTATTTCCAGTAGCATATTTTTTCGGATCGAATTGCGACCGCTGCATACAAGTGAGTTTGGGTTCACTTTCTCTAGGTGTTTCATTTTCATTACCATTTAGCGGGCTGGAGAAGTATTCCCTTCATAGATTCGGTATACTCTGGGCATCTGTCACTAGCTCACCACTCTGCGTCCAACAAGAGCTTGCTCTGTAAGACCTTCCGTAAATAGCTGTATCTTTTCGTGGAATTTTTGTACATTACCCCTGTAGGCCAGCTTCTCAAGCTCTTCGTACTCAAGCATCTCGCCCTCTTTTTTCCCTGCAGATGCGTCTTGCTTCGCTCACGGTGTCTATACCACCCCTCACGTATTGTGGTCAATCGAAATGTTGTGAGGTAGATAGTCCATTTTCTCCCCACCGCGATACGGCATTGCTCATGGTACCTTTCCGAAACAGCTTCGTTTGCAGCTATACGTAGCGAGTTTGAAATGCCATCCCACAGTTCTTTTATACCGAGTTGCTGATGGCTGCTCTCAAAGAGAAGGAGTGCAAGTCGAGTAGAAAACCGCTCGGCAGTCTATTGTGATTGCAGCTTTTCAACGTTGAACCTTCCTTGTGCTTGTTGACGGGCTTTCTTCGATACACAGGGACGCGGACATATGAAGTCCTTATATAGAATATAACAGTTTTTATGAGTGGTATGGATGAGTCCTAAAAGCCCAGTAGTTAGGCGTAGTTACTGAAATTCGAATGGCCCAGGCTCGAGTCCACGTCCGACCAACTTGAAAAATTATGAAAAATTAATTTTTCTAATTGCGGTCAGCCTTCGGCAGGGAATTTATTTTTGACATAAAGCGAAATAAAACCCATTGACCGTTCGGAGGAGGCTCAAAATTATTGGTTCGTCTTTCCATTTGGGAAAGTACCAAGCCGCACAGCACCGGATAACGAGCTCGGTCGAAAATCCCTACTGCAAATATTTTTACTACGAGTTGTTTGTGCAACAAGCGAAGACAATAACCTGTGAATGAAGAGCTGTGTCGGAAGGGGGGTAAAGTGGGTATAAACAATTGCTTACAATGTACATACACACTCGTACATATTCACATCACAGTAAGTGTTAAATTGATATTGTTAAAGATTAAGCTGCAGATTATAGGGCGTCAAGCCGTGTTGCATTCAACATTCATTTGAAGCTGATGTATTTTATATAAGAATTTATGTATGTATGTATGTATGCAAGTATGCATGTATGCATGTATGCATGTATGCATGTATGTATGTATATACAATACGCTTGTATGTCTCTTAACTTGATGTAGTAAATATTGACCAAACAGCTTTAATACTAACGAGATGATCCTTAGCAGAATGGCATAATAAATTTACACATGACATGCAAATGCAGGCAAATAAAATAATTCCCCTGTACCGGGTAAAGCACAAGGATTATGGGGTTGCATTAATTTATAGAAAATTATAGCAACATGCGCATAGTTAAGATTCAAAGGTAGAGGAGTGAAGGAAAAAAATATTACACCGCAACTGAAGAGACATAAATAACAAATGTCCCATCCATTTATACGCAGCAACTCTTGCGGTTGGCTTTATTTATACTACTCTCTCCTCTCCTAGTTTGTGTGGGAGTATTGTTTGAATGTCCTTGCATGACATGGTCATGGCAAATAATTTAGTTGAGGCAAAACGAAAAAATAAAAAATAATACAAACTAAAACACAACCCACTCATCTCTTCGCGTACTCTGTCATTGTCTGATGTTCTTCTACAATATTTTCTTCCGCTTTCTCTCCGCAGATGCGCTCCACATCAAGTACCCGCATGGACCGTCCGCAGTTGAAATAAATCGTCTGCTCAATGCAACATCTACAACAACATTGGACATGACTTCCAGTGGCAAAGGTGGGCACGGCGGCAGTGGTGACGGTCTTGGCGGTGGCAAATGGCGCACGGAAGTTCAAATTACCGAAGGCCACCTGGGCGGCGGCGGGCGTGCTGGTGAATATCAACCTGACCTGCTGCCCGCATACAGCACCCACAAAGCAGTCAACAATAGTTGTAGCAACAGTAACATTAATGGTCATGCCAACAATGTGGCCAGCAATCAGCAAGGACAGCTTTATAGTCCGATAAAAGCAACGAGGACAATAAATCTGCACGATGACCAGCAAATGTCACAGCAACAACAACAGCAACAGCAACAACAACATCCAACACATCAACAACCAATTGTGGCCAAGAGTAAATATAATATTAGCGCGCAAGAATATCTGCAGTCCAGGTACGGCGCTGCCAGCAAACCCAACGACAAGACATTGCGTCGCGGTGAGGTGATTGCGGTGGCGACGACGAGCATTGCGCTGAACACCACTGGTTCCTTGCCAACGACAACTGTTAGCGCGTCAAGTGGCGCGTCGCCACAAGCGGAAAGTGGCTTCTCAACGTTGCAACGACATAGTAAATCAGTCGCGTTGCCAGCGCGCACACCCACCGATACACACCACGCGACGAGCTATGGCTACGAGTATCGTCAGCCACCACCACCACCCTACAATTCTGCGCATCGGACAGCGAGCGGCTTGCAGCTGCTGCAGCGTCGTACCAGCATCAACAATGAACAATGCAACGAACAGTTGAATTCGATGAAGGATCTGGGCTATCGGGAGACTTTCGGTGGTGGTGGTGTTGGTGTGGGTGATGGTGCGCGTCAGACTATTGTGACAGCATCCTCCTCATTGCAATTCCTCACGACTACCGGTTACGGTGGTAATGTGGCGCCCCAACGGCAACTACTTTGATTGTCAGCGCAAGCGGGTGTCTTGGGATAGAAAATTGGGCGGCTGCTTTAAGCGGCAACCAAAGCTTGAGAATTTGTACAGGCGGTTAAGAGTTGGACTAAGCGAAGGTAAGTTAAAACAAATATTTAAAAAAAAGTTTTATTTCAAAATAAATCAACTTTGGATTGTGGACTCCGCTAAACACATTATATAATATTTGTACCCGCTGAATTTATTTTCGGTCGGGTATCCACACTAATTTTTGGTGCTCGTCTTAATGGATTTTTAACAAATCGACGGACCAACAATTTATTCTATATTCAAAGCAACGATTACGCGAAGGGTGCTGGTAGTTTCAGCGAACAGAGTTTCTTAGACACCAAGCTTACACTCTTTTATATGACCTTTTTTGTCGATTTCCCAAGGACAACCCCTCAGTTTTTGTCTTTTGCACCACAATTCTTGGACGGCGGTGATGTAGGTCTTTAGTCCAACGAGGTCATCGACCAGTTGGGCAGCGGCACCTTAGCTTAAAAATCGGACTTTCGATTAATATGTTCTTAAGTCTTGATCCATAAAAACGTCTACAATAGTCGTCATCAGTAGTAGGGCTTCTCATCAGAGGTGTTGTAATCTTATTTTGTCTAAAGCTAGTTTCTATACAGGGTGTCGCAGACGCGCCACAGAATCCCGCTACGAGAGTAAGTTTACTTTTCGGTCAAACTTAGATAGCGAGCCGCTTACCTCAAGACCGATGGTCACTGGCAGTCTCACCTTACGTGAAAAGGTGCTGAAGAGAGGCTCTAATGAACTCTTAAGCCGGATATATATTAGTAACGTACGCTCAGACGGACGACATCTCCTGGCTCATGTAGCCGCTGTCGCTTAGTTATTTCAGTGTTGACTTATAACTCTTACATCTTTTCGTCTTCCACAAAACTATTCCTTCGACAAACTTCTACCAGCGACTTATCAGATGACGTCATCGTTCAAGCCTCCGTACCGTATAGCTGGACGTGATTGAGTGACTTGTAAAGTTTTGTTTTTGTTCTCCGAGAGAACACTTTGCTCTTCAACTTGCCTACTCAGCCGAAAGTAGCCGCTGTTGCGAAAGTTATTCTGGGTTTTGGGCATGATATTGTTGTTGGTGGTGTCGGTCCAAAGATAGACGAAATTATCAGCGACTTCAAAATTATGACTGATTAACAGTGAGGCGGGAGCGAAGAGAAACAAAGCTGGTTTGATGCCCAGAGGTATTTCGTCTTGTCTTCATTCACTACCGGACCTATTTGCTTCGCTTCTCATTCGGTCTGATTTGTCTTCATTTATACACGAAACTCATACATACAAATGTATATCGTATACATATCTGTTAAAAAAAAAAAATCTACCTATGAACACATATGCATATACAAGTGGAACAGTACAGTCGAGCACGCATGTTATTGCTATCCGAGAGTGCTCATCCGCAGAAAGTGGAAGTATCCTTATATGTAGTACATGATGATGGTTGCATATTTCAATAGCAAAATAGCAAAATAGCACAACAGCAAACCGTTTCAACTTGAATTGCTGATTTGTCATTGAACCATTGAAGCGTGTCATCGTCATGTAAGCATTTCACTTTTCGCTGCCTCTGGTACAATTTCGCTTTTGCTTTTTCACTCTTCAATGGCAGTTCATAGTTATTGCCACAGACTAGTTATACAGTTGGATTTGTTGTTGGTTTCATTGTAGCGGCGGTTGGAAAGCCACATGGCGTCCACTGAAAGTATGAGGCCTGCATTACATTCATGCTTTTGCCGGCGTTTTAGCAAAGGTATGCGAAATGGCCAAATAAACAGTAAAGGAGGTGAAGAGGATCTACATACGAGTATGTATGTATGGCAGGCATGCTTTTACATTTACACTATTTACATTTTGCGCTGTTGCACAATGGGCGGAGTAAACTGCTGATGGCGTTGGTATTTGATTTTCACAGCGTTGCGAATGGTATCGCCCAAAACTGGGTCAATATTCCCGCTGGAAATAAACTGCTGATGCAATACGCCAATTTTCAAAGTAACTATGACTTTGTTGGTGCTATTCTGGTTTGCTGTCTGTGTCTAGGTGGGTGTAATTGTTGATACAGTTCCCAAATAGACACATCCCTTTGTCGGAAGTGTATCAAAGTGGAATGTGCTAAAAACGAGTGTTGGAGGTTTGGTTTTGCACAGCTTGTGAGTGTGGAAATTCTGTGGAAATCGTGTAATTTGAAGTTGTTGCAAAGATTGAAAATTTTCAAACATTCAATAAAAGTAAATAAAATTTGAATGTGAGCACATAAACTGTTATTCACTGCATATATGAGAGGGCATTAGCTGAGTAGTAAGATTTGGGTACTATAGTGCGTGGGCCGATATTCAAAATTATACAAAATTTTTTTTTTTAATTAAACTCAATGGCACGTACCACAAGTTCGGCAAGCTCTCGAACGAAAATTAATTCAGTTGTTAAGAGTACCAATTATTTACAACAAGAGGAAGCTTTAAATGCGCTAATGCTTATACTCGCTTTGCAGCTCTTTGAAAAATCGGCGCCTTAGACTAACATATTTTGGTTTAATTTTATGTAACTTTCCATTAGTTTTTATTTAACTTTTTTATATTATATACAAAATTTAATTTTACTTTTTTATTTTTGTTACTTTGTTTTTTTTATATATATATTTTATTATATATTAATTTAATTAAAAGTATTTTGTTTTATTTAAGTTAATTTATTTTATTTTACTTCATTTAATTTTTTAATTTTGTTTTATTTTATTTTACATTAATTTTTTTATTAATTAATTTTACTTGATTTTGTTTTACTTAAATCAAATTAGTTTTATTTCATTTAAATTATTTTAATTTAATATATTCCAATTTAGTTTAACTTAATTTAGTTTAATAACATTTTTTTTATTTTATTATATTGTAGAAATGTAATTTAATTTAATTTACTTTAAGTCAATCTAATATATCCTAAATTAATTTAATAAAATTTGATTTAAATTAATTTAATTCATTTTAATTAAATCTAATGTAACTTATTTTGTTTTGTTTCATTTATTTTATTTTAATTCAATTTTAATTTCATTTAATTTCTTTTAATTTAATTTAATTTATATTAATTCTATTATATTTTGTTTAAGTTTATTTAAATTAACTTAATTTTATTTAATTTATTGTGATATTATTTTATTTAATTTTATTTAATTTAGTTAAATTTTACTTTATTTATACTCGTTTTATTTAATTGGGCTTACCTTAATTTATTTTAATTTTATTTAATATGACTTTAATTAATTTAATTTGATTTAAGTAAATTAAATATTACCAATTTAATTTAAATTATATTAATTTATTTTAATGTAATCTATTTTTTTATTTTTAATATTTTTTGTTTTATGTAATTTTACGTTATTTGTATTAATTTATGTTAATAAAATTTAATTTATTTTAACTCAAATTATTGTAATTTAATTAAAATTAATTTGATTTAATATATCTTAAGTTAATTAAATACATTTTATTAAATTGTTTAATTTAATTTAACTTAATTTAGTTTATTTAATTTAAATCAATTTAAATTAGTTTTATTATATTTCTTTTTACTTAATTTAATTTTATTTTATTTTACTAGTTATAAAATTATTATATTATATTATTTTTTATATTATTTTATTTAATTAAATTTTATATATTTAATTTAATATAGTTTAATTTAAATAAGTTTACTATATCTTAAATAAATTTTATATAACTTTATTTAAAATAATTTAATTTTTTTTAATTTAATGTAATTTGTTTTGTTTCATTTATTTAATTTAATTTTATATATTTTGTTTTTGTTTAAATTGATTTAATATTATTATATTTAATTAAAATAAATTGAGTAAATTAATTTATTTTAATTTTATTTAACTTAATTTAGTTTAGGTTAACTTAATTTAAACTGAATTTTTTATTGACTTTGATTCAATTTTGTTTTATTTAATTTAATTTAGTTCAATATATTATACAATAATTTTTTTTATTGTATATTATTTATTTTAATGAAATTTAACAAAATTTTGTATCCAATAAAATAACTTAGTTTAATGCTATTAAACTTAATTTAGTATAAATTAATTTAATTTTATTAATTTAATCTAATTTATTTTATTTTGCGTTGTTTTATTTAATTTTTTATTATTCGATTCAATTGAATTTAAATTGTTTTATAATAATTTACTTTATTCAATTGTTTTAACTTTGATTAGTTCATTAATTTCGATTGAATGTAATTTATCTGAATTTCAATTATTTTAATTTATTTGTTTTAATTAATATAGTAAGATGATTGGTTTCATTTCATTTAGTTTTACCTTTTTTTATTTATTGTGGTTTTTAGTTTTTTTTTATTAAATTTCATTTAACTTACTATATTATATTTAACCTTTTTTCATTTTAATTATTTAATTTCATTTTATTTATATTTTTTATTTGCTTTATTTTATTTCATATTATTCTATTAAATTAAATTTATGAAAACTTTTATCAGTAATGCAAGTTGTAGCTGCTAAGCGTTGAACTATGCTCCTCAACTGGTAATTCAAAACGGATTTGGCACAGGAAGAAAATTTAAAATGTTGAAAAAGACATAAGAGGAATAGAAAGAATTGAATGAATGCGCTTGCTGCATAGGAAATAGCTGGAATGAAATAGACTCTGAATAATGCAATGAAAAAAGTTACGCACATTTATCTATTTTCAGATAAAAAAAATAGAAGTATAAATCAAAAGTAAAGGAAATAAATATAAGCACAGAAAAGAAATATTCAAAGTAACTGTATTCACTCTCACTAATGCAAACGCAAACTTTGTTGATATGTAGTATGTAGATTTCCTATATATCTACATACTACATATCGTATAAAACGTTGGATACCTTTGGCCTCTCTTCGTGCATCCAGTAGATTCTAATAGATTTTTATTTTTCTTTCTAAATTCACACAGCCGCTGTGGCATTTCACTCGTAGCTTTTGTTTCCGTCAGGCTTCAAATTCCTTAATGTGGTTGCTTTAGACTAGCAGGAAGCGGATGTTTGTTGGTATTGTG